CCCTCTGCACGGACCGCTTCTCCACCCGCAGCACGCTCGTCCTGCGACCGGTTTAGATGCCGAACCAGACAGATGCAAGCGAGGGGAGGACGCATGAAATGATCTCGGCTCGTAGAGTAACCTTAGCTCTCCCACCCTGTGGGGAGAGGCACAGACCTGCTGGCTGCGTGAATACAGCAGAAAGAGTGAGCTTCAACGTGAAAAAAAGTCACACGACAGCAGAGCTCAGGTTAGACCTTTTGAGAAAGGTCCTACTGTCAGTATGTGAGCTTGTGTCAAGATTTGTCTCTATTAAATGTGTGATGCTACCAAACACATGTAGGGGTGGCAGCAGAAAAAAATCCCTTCACTGCGCTTTCCAGTACTACGTTATTTCAGAGGTTAACCAAAATCACTTACTTCATAGCTAACTTTGCTATATTGAATCAATGTACAAGTTCCTTATTGGATTTTTATTGCAGATAAAATTGACAGAGAAAATCACTAGGATATACTTAAAAATGGGAAGGAAATGTACGTTTACAATAAAAAGGTCTCTGAAGGTCTCTTGTTTCATAGGAAGGAAGCTGTCTTTATATTGCATGAACTATAAAAAATGATTAAAACTGAAGAGAGACAGGAAGCTGATAATTTGATTTATCATCTTAATGGCTATGATTCATGAATAAATAATATAATGGTTTATGTCTCTCTTGTAAAAGAAGTAGAGAAGAGCAATTTGTCTAATAAATGACTTCAAAAATTACAGCTGAGTCTTGTTTGCCACATTTGTTCTATTTAAAAAGAATGAGCGAGTATCTTATTTCTTATTACTTACTAGGACATTTGTTGTATTATTTATAAGAGTCAAAAACCTTAACTAAAAGCCACTCATCTCTGACCACAGTCTCCCATTAGCTTTAAATTCAGGAAAGAGAAATGGATTGATCACTAGATCAATAAATCTAACCTTGGAGATGACTAAAAGCTTCCTTTAACCTCCTTCCTCCAGCATCCTTTTTCCAAATTAAAGTATCCCCCTTATTAATTATTGAAGAGCACGTCAATTTTACAGTAAGGCCATGTATGACTGCATCACACAAGGATTTCTTCTGTATATTGGAAACACACCAGCATCTCTAAAAGGAAAGCATTTAAGCTATGATCACTCGTTGCTTTTTTTGAAGTTGGATATGCTACTACAGATACACGCATCCTGCTCCAGACGCGCCCCAGATTTCATCAAGACAAGTGCTGAGAACAGGAAAATGGAGCAGAAGTGGGTGCTCCCAATTACCGGACGCACAAGCTGCCCCAAATCCATCAGTGGTTTTGAGGGAGTTGAAGTTGCTCTGTATTGACAGCCTAGGGCTAACAACCAACGTTGCTACAGAGCTGCAAAAAGTCACTTCAGGCAAAAGCAAACTCCAGAGAACATAATTCATGGAAAGAGGTTTTAATTTTTTTTTTAAACCATCCTGTAAAAATAGCTTGTAAATGTAGTTTGCCCAGCGTGCATCAAGAGCCTGACCTTTTTTTCCCTCCCTTATATCAAAATAATTTATCCAAATCAGATCTTTCTTCTTAACAGAAGCTGTTCACGTGATTCAAGACACTGCGTTTCTGCTGACCTCCTACGGAACCGCCTTCAAAGCAATACGAAGCTCGTCACGCGGACACAACTCCTGACGCGAAGCGGGCTGGGTGCCCCAAAACAGGGGGTCACCTCCGGATTACGTCCTCGCTCGGCCACTGACCTGCTGCGTAGTCTCTAGCACAGGTTTTTCCGCACCTCTCCGTCCCTTTCCTCCTCCCACATTTAATCTTCATCCTGAAAAAGTTCGGACCTCTGTCTTGCGAGAGCTTGGGCTCAGAAACTGGAAGTTCTTACCCTGTTTCTGAGGCTAACTTTATAGAGGGCTTCAACACTGAACTTCACAACTGGGTTATCTTTGGATCATAATTCAGATGCAAGGTGTTATAATAAAGTGTTACTGGAGTGAGCAGCGCTGGTCAGACTTAATGACAGCAGCGGGAGGAACACTTTAGGATGACAATTCTTGGCATACTGTAAAACCAGTTAATTTCTACCAGACTTATTAAAAAAAAAAAAGAGAGAGAAAAAAGAAAAAAGGTACAAGGATTTAAGCAAAATAGACCTTTTGCATTCTCCTGTTTCATATAAAAATGTATACTTCATAGAATCGCAGAATCATTCAGGTTGGAAAAGACCTCTAAGATCACCAAGCCCAGCTGTCACCCCAACACCCTCATGCCTGCTAAACCATGTCCCCAAGTGCCACATCCACACAGTTTTTGAACCCCTCCAGGGATGGGGACTCCACCACTGCCCTGGGCAGCCGGGTCCAATGCCTGACTGCTCTTCCAGTAAAGACATTTTTCCTGATATCCAATCTGAACCTCCCCTGATGCAACTTGAGGCCATTAATGGATTAATCACGAAATGGATCTTTCTCTCACAGACTGGGCGTGTATACACAACTCAATGTCGTCAGGCGCAAATGTCACACGGGTATGATCTGGACAGATAAACCAGCAAAAAATAGCGTGAACTTCCACAAAACCCCACTCATCGATATTTTCTCCACATGATTTCTCTAAATAAATGCAATTAACTGGCCCACAGCCCAAAGGCCCTATTTTTATGTGCCGCACCTTCTTTCCCCAACTGCTGCATTATATAGGTCTCCTAAAATTGGAGCGCTCAAGACGTTTTCGGGGTAAGTGATGCATCAACTAATGTCAAAACAATGTAGGCTGCATCCAGAATGACACTGAAAACGCAGTGCGTTGGGGAACTATACCCCAAAAAAGGTTCTTTCATGGCCTTTCCTTTTGAAGGGACAAAATCTTTGCTGATTTTGAAAGAGATGGTGGCCTTCGCTAACTTCCAAAGCAGGTATGACTTTTGGTCAAAATCTCTTTTTTGTGGTTTTGCAATAAAAATAATAGTTATGCTCAATGTCTATCTAGAATTATGGGCTCTTTGCCCTAATTAAGAGTTTCTGAAAGAGAATTTTAATCAAGCAGACTGCAAAGAACTCTGCTGTCACTCTGTGGAGTCAGATTTTGAACCAGATACTATTACTTTGTACCGCAGCCACACAAGTCACAGGCCACCATTCCACGACAGGCACAGCACAAGAGAGCGAAGATGATCCCTGCTGCTCCCTCACTTTGTATTTGGAAAATAGCAGTGACGGATACAGGGAAAAACAGATTTCCTGGGATGAAGCTGTCCTTGATAAAACACAGTTTATGCAAAAGGCAATGTCTGTTGAATGGAAGCAGCACGAGGAGAAGATTACAGAAAAAAAGGGGGAATTTTTCTGGCGTCAGTCATACAATCCGCACTTGCACAGGGAGGAGGGAGACTCTCAGCTGGTATAAGCTGTTATCCACGTATCAATAAAGCCATGCTGATTTATGGCAGCTGAGAGTTTGTCCCGCAGCGCATTCACCCATGTACGATGCGATAGATTGATACGCTAGCGTTTTCTCCCTGGAGACTTTGGTTCAAAGCCTATTTAAAACCCAGGGAAAACAAACGGGCTGGTCTCTAAGCAGATGTCCCTGGAAATCTGTTTACATCATCCCAGTGACAGCAGTTTAGTGGAAATGGTATTCTCTGCTCGGGGGGGGGTGAGGGCAGGGTAGCAGGTCACCGGCAGAGTTGAATGGCAAAGCCCCCTCGGTAGCTCCTGAGTACCCAGCTCACAGGACAGATCTGATGTCGACAAACCCGTAGGATTCTGCACAAGGTGAAATTAAAAGATTCGAGTAGAAATATTGCTTAGTCTTAGTCTATAATCTGGGAGCGAGACTCTACGGCACTGTGCTCTGCTGCTCCTGGCCTGCACACATACGTAACCTCACGCAGAGGGGCACCTGCTGACGGATTTTTGAGATCTTTTGCACGCATGAAATCAAACACATTTGTAATTCTGCAGGCGCGGGGTCTCAGTTCCAACAGCATTTCAAGAGGATACAAACGCTCCCTGCGATCAAAGGAGAGGAAACAGTGCGGTTGTTGTAGTCACCATTACGTCACCTCGCATGCTTTTGGCAGAGTAGTTCTGGGCCCAGTTTTGCGAGAGGAGATAAAGCACGTAGAAGCGAAGGCAACAGAGCTGCAGGTCACTCCTGCCCCTCCTGGAGCTGCGCCCCAGGGCCAGCCTGGGAAGCAAGCGAGCTGCTTGCCTGAACCCAGACCCACTGAGTCTCCCTGGGATTTCACCAACAATCCAGCAGCGGATGTGCCTCTCCGTGTAATGTAAGCAATGCTTTTAGGAGCATTATCCATGCGCGGTTTTCCCGTACATGGAATTTGGCAGGAGGCCATTCGACCGAATGCTTCACATTGCAAGAAAAATCCGCAGACCTTTTTTTTTTAATACTTCTTAAAAAAATAACCCTCCTACTAACAAAATAAGAAAGTTCTTCGTTATCACCTCAGCATCAGCCATGCAAGATCAGATAGTTTAATATGCAGACTTAAGGAAATATCTTCCTTCTCACCCTCCCAGCCAATGCTGTATCATTTCAGAAGCAGCAGCGCCTGTAGTGAAAACTGGTGTTTCACATAATGAAATAGGAACACAGAAATAGCGTTACCAAGTCCAAGCCCCATCTATCATAAGTAACGATATCATTATCCCTTCCAGACACTGATCAAATCCCAGTTTATGAGCAGTTTGCTTTTTACTGCTATTATACCAAATGAAAAGCTGTTCCAGAACCCCGCTGCTCTGACGATTCCGAGCCTTCCTCTTTTCCAACCAAAATCTTTTCATGACCAGTTTCTACACGTTTGTTCCTGTACTGAGTGTTGTCCTTAACTTGAATTGTTTTTCCCCTCCCTGGTGTTTCATCCCCTGATGTATTTATAGAAAGATCATATCCTCTTTCAAACTTCATTTTGCTAGGAAGAGTAATGTTAGAAACAGACTGATGAATTTACTGCATTAGATAGGGACGGACATACATATGCACACACAGAGGCTAGAGCACTCATTTCAAAAGAAATGCAGAAAATACAGATGAGTCAATCTTTAGTTAACAGTGAATTATTTCAAACATGTCAGCAACATATGTAAATTACAATATAAAAGACAGATCAAAACCGATTTTTAGGAGTTTTCAGATCTAAAGACTATCCATCTATAGAAATACCAGAAAGCCTACCTGAAATTCCGTAAAACTCTAGTTTGGGAACAGTACCGAAAGCCCACAACGAATATCACTTCTGAAAAAGAGTGCTGGAAAGACTCAAAGTACATTTGGATAAAAAAGCCTTAGACAGAGGCTAGTTTGGGTAGTAAATAATCTGCAGAAAAAGGAAAAGAAAATAAAATTGCTATTAAAAAAAACCAAACCCTAGAAGGAAGAAAGACCAAACATACTATTTGTTTAGAGACAATTTCATTCTTTCATAAAAATATTTTCTAGCTCTGCTGCTCTGGTACATCAATCCTGAGTACTCTAACTTTCGACTTATAATGATATTCCTTCAGATACAGCTTCACCGATGGAGGAACGGGAAGCGCGTCGATACCATCGTAAGTCGTACAGTTGCAAATAACTGTTCTACATATGTGTTGAAGAGAAAAAGGAAAAGTCCTGTTCAGCGGAGTGGATAAAAGTGGTTCAAAGAACATACAGGAACTCGGATCTTTGTAGTGCTCTAGGAGTCCCGTGATGTCAGGAGAGTGGAAGACACAAGGATCATGGGCGTCAAAGCTGAAGTTGTGATTCCACTGCTCTATCCGCGCGTGGAGGGAACGACTGTAGCGCCTGAAGCTCACAGAAAACAAATAGTCTTCCTGGGCAGAATCTCGTAATAAAAATGTTCCCTCTGGCTTTCCTTCTAGCAGCGCCTCGGCTGCGTATTTATCCATGACTCCCCAGTAGCAGGGATTGTTATTGATCTGGAGGAGGTCTGGCACTAGGCAGTGGACATAATCAATCTGCGTGTGGTACTTCGGCGGCGTTCCCATCCGTAGCAGCTCATCATCTGTTTCCCATTTGGGCTTGTTTCTTTTCCTAGAACTTGTGCAGAGTGTTACAACTTCATCGTCGGAGTCCATATCGCTCTCGTCTTTACTGCTCCTTACCGCCTTGCCTGTAACCAACTCGGACCTCGAATCACCCCGGGAGGAACCGCTGTCGGTGAAGTCGCAGGACGAGGAGGGAGAGTCCGTTCCTCCGTTGGCAATCTCATCGTCTCGCAGCTGATCCTCTCCTTTCTCACGCTGGGATAAATCAGCAATTATCCAGTCTTCTGCTTTTGGACTTACAGGGGCTGTATGTCTTTTGATCAAGTGCCACCGAAAAGCTAGCTCCGAGCGCGGAGGGAAAGGACACTTATCTAGCATTAACTCACTGATATGAATTTTTCTTTTTGACGGCAGTCCTGAAGCGTGCCGACTGCTACAGTTCTTTATGGGAAAGCACTGACCCACAGCATCTTGCAGCTTCTGCTTGAGAGACCGGCCTAAAAACCTGTGACCGCACGAACGGTCTAGATCCAGCTCGATAGACGAGCAGCTGTACTTCCTCTCTTGGCTCCTTAAATCAGTCCCTGGTCTTCCCGCAGCGCTTGCTGTTTCGGCGTCAGAACAGTGCTCACTCTTTTTAGACCAGGAGAGCTTCTTTCCGCTCCAGACGTAGCCATCCTTTCTGTCCGCACTTCTGCTCCGGCTGCTTTTGGGTCTCACGTCTGCGTTTTTAATATTACTGTCCTTGTTTTCTGCCATTTTGACAGCTTTGCTTCACAAGTTGCCAGAAAGCCCACGGTGTTTCTCGTAGGGTTTTTCTACATAAGAAAGCTTCCCTCAAGGCACTTTCTAGAAATATCTAGGGAAAAAGAAAATACAGCTAAGTTAACAGTTATGCATGCACACAACACAAGACCAGTGCAGGTGTTTACAGGACAACAGCGACAATTGCTAACCATATAAAAATAATATGATCAAGCTGAATTCACTAGTGTACCCCACAAATACTGGCCTGCTCCCAGACAAGGCTCTCTTAACCCTTCCTTGGGAAAAGCATCCTTTTCCTTCCCCTCTACACTGCCCTAGTGAGGCCCCATCTGCAGTGCTGTGTCCAGTTCTGGGCTCCCCAGTTCAAGATAGATGAGGAGCTACTGGAGAGAGTCCAGCGCAGGGCTACAAGGATGAGGAGGGGACTGGAGCATCTCTCCTGCGAGGGAAGGCTGAGGGAGCTGGGCTTGTTCAGCCTGGAGAAAAGAAGGCTGAGAGGGGACCTTAGAAATGCTTACAAATATCTGCAGGGTGGGTGTCAGGAGGACGGGGCCAGACTCTTTCCAGTGGTGCCC